TCTCTGTCTCTCTCTGTCTTTCTCTCAGTCTGTGTCCGTCTGTCTCTGTCTCTGTCTCTCTCCTACTTATATCCGTCCCCTTCCCTCCACTTTATTTCCCCCTCCTTTCTCCCCTCTGGTGTTCTCGGATTTCATTACTGTCCCTCCTTCCCCCTGTCTCCTCCCCCCCCACCCCGCTTTGTAGCCTCCATCCCTCCCTTCATCCTTCTCTGTTCTTCCCTTGCCTCCTCCTCCTTCTCCTGCATCCTCCCCCGGATCCCCCCCTTCCGTCAGCCTCTGCCCTCATCTCTCCCCTTGGACGGCCCCGCACTGCTCTCCTTCATGCAGTTCTGACTTCTGCCTAGCTCTTTCCCGAACTTGTCGTTCATCTCCTGCCTCTGCATTCACAGTTGTATCCCCCATTTCTGGAGCTCGGCCCCTCATCATTTCCGCCTCCCAGGGTCCTCAGCCTCCTTCGAGGTTCAAGTCTGGTGCCTCCAGGAAGCTTCCTCCATCTCCGTGTGTGTGCCTGCTCGGGCTCCCCTGCTCACCTTGTATTGGTTTATTTGGGCACACCTCGTATCTCCAGTCCAGCCCCTCTCAGACTTTTGGTCTCAGGACCCCTTACACTCTTAAAAATTATTGAGGCCATCCCCAAAGAGTTTTTGCTGGTGTGAGTTTTATCAACCAATTTTCACCCCACTGGAAATGAAAATGATTACTATAAAATCGTTTTTGATCTCACAGACCCTCCCCCCCCCAAAAACCTCAGGGACTTGGGGTCCCTGGACCACACTTTAAGACTTGTTCTCTAGTAGAATGTAAGCTCTTTGAGGGTAGAGACTTTTTGGGGGGGCCTTATATCCGTGTTACCTAGTACAGTGCCTTGCACACAGTAGGTGTTTACAAAATGGTTAATTAGAATATAGAACATCTAGGCCAAGGGCCTCATTTTTCTAGATGACAAGAGCCGGTAAGATTAAGAGCCAGAAGGCTCTCCCCATGGACACACAGGGACAGACTGAGGTCATCGGCATTTAGGTTTTGAGCTAAGAGGGATTTCAGAGGCCAGGAATCCATCCCTTTCATTTTATAGATCAGGAAACTGAGGCCAAGGCAATTGAAGTGACTTGCCTAGGGTCACACCGGCAGTAAGCATCAGCAGAGGTGGCTTTTGAACCCAGGTCCTCCAATGAGAAAGAGACCAAGAGACAGAGACAGAGAGGAGAGAGACAGAGAGAGGAGACACACAGAGAGAGATGGAGACAGATATTTTTCCCCAGAAGGAAAGTGAGGAGTGGTGCAGACAAGAGGTCTGGATGGGGGAGGAAGATGCAGGGTTCTAGTCCTGCCTTGGCCCGAGGCTGGCTGGGTGCCCCCGGCTTTGGTTACCACCCCCACAGCGCCCTTTCTCTCTCAGTGCCCCAGGTAACTCACTCTCTCTCAGACTCCAAGTCTCAGAGAAGGTGCCTGCCCTGCATTGGCAGAATTTGCTCCTCACCGGGAGCCTCTTCCAACCAATGAAATCACGGGTCTGGTCCAAAAAAAAAATTTGTTCCCTGAGAGCCCCAGAAACAGAGAAACAGGCAGAAAAGTACTGTTCTCCCAGAGACACTGAGACAAAGAGACGCCAAGACAAAGGCTCCAGGAGACAGAAAGACGCAGCTGAGGCAGGAGGAGGACCCCCAAAGTCTGTCCTGTAAGGACTCACAGACCCAGAACCTGCCAACAGGGAGGGAGGGCAATCGGAAAAGAGCTGGGGCCAGGGGCCAGAAAGACTGCAGGGCCAGTTGGAGGGATGTATGTGCACTCACACCCAAACCCCCCACTGACTCCCCCTCCCCAGCTCATTGCACCATTTCTACAGGAGCAGGGAAGTGGGATCCTGGGAGGGGGAGATGCTGAGCCCCCTCCCCACTCATGTGCTGCCCTTCACCTTCCCGTTCCCCAGAAGGGGCAAAGAGTTCAAGGGTGAGAATGGATGAGACCTCTCCCCACCCCACCCCCCCAACCTGAGAAACTGATGAGACAGGGAGAGAGGAAAGAGTTAATCTGCTTCCTGGGACCCCAGATACTTGGGTCCCCGGCCCTGGGGTGTTGTCAGGGCTCGGACTCAGCTTGCCACGTGCAGTGAAAAAGAGGTGATACCATGAGAAGTATCCCTGCCCCCTCCCCATGCTAAGTGCTTAGAGATCTCCCATAGCAATAGTGCACTCCAGGGCCTGAGGCCCCGGGTCTGCTCCCCCCCCCCCCCCCCCCCCCCCCGCCCCTGCTAGGTGCTCAGGAACTCCACCATCCGGCTATGGTAATGAAGACCAATGAGGTAGCTGCACTCGTGTCTCTGGGCGGCTGGGGTCGGCTCTGCCCGCCTGGCATTGGGCCCTGGGTGGGCAGTGTTGGGGAGGGAAGGGGGGGGCCCTGGCGCCTGGTTGGGCCGGCTTGTTGCTGGGTAACCAGGCGCTGAGTCCCCCCCACCCCCACCCTCCCTGCTCCCTGCTCACTGGCTGGGCCCTGCCAGGAAGAGGGAGGGGGGCAAAGGCATGCGGGCAGCTGAGGCCACAGCAACAGCCTGGGCCCACCCAGCCAACCCAGCTTCCTCCTGCCCAGCCTGCGGAAGCATCTCTGCTTTCCCTCGCCACCCAATAAGGCCCTGGTGGACCCTAGCTTCTCAGCCCTCCCCCTCCCCACCCCCCCAACCCCACCAGATCCGTACCCTGCAAACCCAGCCCGGGAGCTGAGGTGCCCTAGGCACCCAGACCCTGGGATTCCGGGGGAGGCAGACATCTGAGCCCCCAGCGGCACCCCCGCCCCGGCCTTGAACCCCTCCTCAGCCTACTTTTCCAAACGATTCTCCCACGAGACCCAGAGGCCAGAGAATCGTGGGGTTTAACTCTCGATCTGAAAGGGAAAGGACCTCAAAACCCGCATGGTCCAAGCCCTTCGTGTACAGATGAGATGAGGGAATGAGGCCCAGAGAGGGGAAGAGTTTTGCTCGAAGACACACAGAAGAGACCTAGCTCTTTTGGATGGAAATCGAGGACTTTTCCCACCACCAGCATTCGGACCCCCGTCTGTAACCCGGGGGGGAGGGAAAAATGTGTAAGAGAAGCTGTGTGTCCTCGGGGCGATGTCTTGAGGTCTCTGGACTAGGATTGAAAAAAGAGATGGGGGCGGGGGTGATGGGGCAGGTCCCCATCCCCTGCGCTCAGGCATAGAAGCCAGGAAAGGACCCAGGCGTTCTCCTCCAGCCCCCTAATTCTCTCCCACCCACCCCCAGTGGCCAATCGCAGGGGCCTGGGGGCGGAGCCAGGAAGTGGGGGAATTAGTCAGACTCAGGAACTAGGCGATGACATCAGGCTGGGGGAGAGGTGGGGTGGGGGGAGTGTGGGGAAGGGGCGATGACGCAACAGCCGCGGTGACTAATGACCAGCGGGGCGGGCAAGTT